TATAGGCGCAGTGAATGGACGGGCACAGACGAGGGCAGTCACTGGTAGGCGGGATTCCCAGGGGGAAGTAGGTCCTTCCCAAAGAGATGGGTTAGTTGCAGCACCCCGTGAAGAAGGTCTTGTAGATGTCCTCTGAACCAAGATTCCATGATGTTGCAGTGTCTGACAAGTTTGGGGCAAGAAAGGTATAAAATACCGACAATATTTAGTTGAGACACATGTGCAACATCTGGATATCTTTATTGTAGTAGACGTTTCGCCATCCAGTGGCTTTATCAATACAGATTCTAGGACATAATGGGAAAAGACAGTAAAAACTATATACAAAAGATGAGGTAATCAGTCCCTCGGCCTTGGAGTTAGTGTTCACAGCATCGGGGGTGGAGGAGAGTCTGGAGAAAAAGGCAAGAAGACGGGCGTTTTTTATAGGCGCCCAGTGAATGGGACGGGCAGCAACGGGGGCAGTCACTGGTAGGCGGGTTTCCCCCAGTGGAAGTGGGTCCTTCCCAAAGAGATGGGTTAGTTGCAGCAGCCGTGAAGAAGGTCTTGTAGATGTCCTCTGAACCAAGATTCCATGATGTTGCAGTGTCTGACAAGTTGTGCAAAAAAGGGTATAAAATACCGACAATATGAAAGTTGAGACACATGTGCAACATCTGGATATCTTTATTGTAGTAGACGTTTCGCCATCCAGTGGCTTATCAATACAGATTCTAGGACATAATGGGAAGACAGTAAGAACTATATACAAAAGATGAGGTAATCAGCCCCCTGGGCCTTGGAGTTAGTGTTCAAAGCATCGTGGTGGAGGAGAGTCTGGAGCAAAAGGCAAAAAAGACGGGCGCTTTTTATAGGCTCAGTGAATGGGACGGGCAGCAGACGGGGGCAGTCACTGGTAGGCGGGTTTCCCCCAGTGGAAGTAGGTCCTTCCCAAAGAGATGGGTTAGTTGCAGCAGCCGTGAAGAAGGTCTTGTAGATGTCCTCTGAACCAAGATTCCAGATGTTGCAGTGTCTGACAAGTTGTGCAAGAAAGGTATAAAATACCGACAATATGAAAGTTGAGACACATGTGCAACATCTGGATATCTTTATTGTAGTAGACGTTTCGCCATCCAGTGGCTTTAATCAATACAGATTCTAGGACATAATAGGAAGACAGTAGAACTATATAAAAAAGATGGGGTAATCAGTCCCTCGGCCTTGGAGTTAGTTTTTCACAGCATCGTGGTGGAGGAGAGTCCTGGAGCAAAAGGCAAGAAGACTGGCGCTTTTTATAGGCGTCAGTGAAGGGGACGGGCAGCAGACGAGGGCAGTCACGTAGGCGGGATTCCCCAGTGGAAGTGGGTTTCCTTCCCAAAGAGATGGGTTAGTTGCAGCAGCCGTGAAGAAGGTCTTGTAATGTCCTCTGAACCAAGATTCCATGATGTTGCAGTGTCTGACAAGTTGTGCAAGAAAGGGTATAAAATACCGACAATATGAAAGAAATTTTATACCTTTCTTGCACAACTTGTCAGACACTGCAACATCATGGAATCTTGGTTCAGGGGACATCTAAAAGCCCTTTTTCACGGCTGCTGCAACAACCCATCTCTTTGGAAGGGCCTACTTCCACGGGGGATCCCGCCTACCATGACGCCCCGTCTGCTGCCCGTCCCATTCACTGACCCCTAAAAAAAAGCCCAGTCTTTTTCCCCTTTGTCCAGACTCTCCTCCCCCACGTGCGGGAAACAAAACCCAACCTTTGATTACCTCATCTTTGTATATGTTCTACGCTCCTATTATGCCTAAATCTGAATGATAAAGCCAGGGGATGGCGAAACGTCACTACAATAAAGATATCCAATGTTCCCACATTGTCCAATTTTCATATTGTGGGTTTTTTAATCCTTTTTTGCACAACTTGTCAGACACTGCAACATCAGGGAATTTTGGTTCGAGGAATCAAAAGCCCTTTTCTTCACGGCTGCTCAACAAACCCATCTTTTTGGGAAGGGCCACTTCCACGGGGGAAATCCCCCCTCCAGTGACTCCCTCGCTGTGCCCCCCCATTCACTGACCCCTATAAAAAGCCCATTTTTTCCCTTTTGCTCCAGCTCTCTCCACCACATGCTGTGAACACTAACTCGGGGCCGAGGGCGATTACCTCATTTTTTATATAGTTCTACTGTCTTCCTATTACCCCTAGAATCTGTATTGATAAACCACTGGATGGCAAAACCTCTACAATTAAAGATTCCAGATGTTGCACAGTGTCTCAACTTCAAATTGTCGGTTTTTTATACCTTTCTTGCAAACTTGAAAAAACACTGAACATCATGGAATTTTGGGTTCAGGGCATCTACAAGACCTTCTCAGGGCTGCTGAAAAAACCCATCTCTTTGGGGGGACCTACTTCCCGGGGGAAATCCCCCTACCATGAATGCCCTCGTCTGCTGCCCGTCCCTTCACTGACCCCTATAAAAACGCCAGCCCTTTTCCTTTTGCCCCAACTCCCTCCCCCACGATGCGTGAACACAACTCCAAGGCCGGGGAGTTTCCTCATCTTTTGTATATAGTTCTTGTCTTCCTATTATGTCTGAATCGTATTGAAAAAGCCACTGAGGGCGAAACGTCTATAAATAAAGATACCAAAGTTCCCAGGGCCAATTTTCATTTTTGTGGGTATTTATACCTTTCTTGCACAATTTGCAACACTGAACTCAGGAAATTTTGGTTTCCCAGGGGCATCAAAAGACCTTCTTCAGGGCGCTGAAACTAACCCCTCCTTTTGGGGAAGGACCTATTTCCAGGGAATCCCCCTACCAGTGACTCCCTGTCGCTCCCCGCCCCATTCACTGGCCTATAAAAGCGCCAGTTTTCTTGCCTTTTTGCTCCAGACTCTCCTCCACCCAATCTGTGAAAACTAACCCCAAGGCCGAGGGGACTGTTACCTCATCTTTTGTATATATTCTACTGCTTCCTATTTATTCCCTAGAATCTGTTTTTATAAAGCCACTGGATGGCAAAAACGTTACTACAAAAAAAGATATCCAGATGTTGAAATTTGGTCTCAACTTTCATATTGTCGGTATTTTTTTACCTTTCTTGCACAACTTTAAACACTGCAACACAGGGAAATTTTGGGTTCAGAGACATCTCAAGTTTTCTTCACGCTGCTGCAACTAACCCATCTTTTTGGGGAAAAGGACCTATTTCCCACTGGGGAACCCGCCTACCATGACTGCCCCGTCTGCTGCCCGCCCCATTCACTGACCCCTATAAAAAGCGCCAGTCTCTCCTTTTTGCTCCAACTTCCTCCACCACGATGCTGGAACACTAACCCAAGGCCGGGGCTGTTACCTCATCTTTTGTATATATTCTATTCCCTATTAGCCTAGAATCTTATTGATAAAGCCACGGAGGGCGAAACGTCTCTAAAAAAGATACCAAATGTTCACAGTGTCTCAATTTTATAGTCGTATTTTATCCCTTTTCTTGCACATTTTGGAGTGTTGGGGCGGCTGGGGTTTGGTGACTGGGGGGGAACAGTACCACTGTAGGGGGTGGTTTTACACGACACTAAAAAGGGAGACACACGTGAGGACGTGACGGGCGAGAGTTTGTGGTAACACCTTGCAGGGTAATTATAGCTCCCTCTGTGGAACAGTTTTCTGATGGGCAAACCTGCGTAACATGAGAATCATCACTGGACATGTGGGCAGTGTGCTTCTCTCCCACCCCTACATCTTATTTTATACAGGGGGGATACCCCATATGTGGTACCCTTTCTATAAGTGACATAGGGGGAAACAT